GTCCATAGAGATGACCTCAGAAGTGATCACAAGCCCAAGGAACTGGATGGATTGCCTCTCAAATTCGCATTTCTCGGCCTTTGCGTAGAGGCGATGCTGGCATAGTCTATCCAGAGTTTTCTTTACGTGATTCCGATGACTTTCTATGGAACTGGAGAAAACCAGGATGTCGTCCAGGTAAACGATTAGAAATAGATCCAGATAGTCCCGAAATATATTGTTTACCAGGTGTTGGAAGGGTTCTGTGGCATTACAGAGACCAAAAGGCATTACCAGATATTCAAAATGGCCAAATTGGGTTCGAAAGGCCGTTTTCCATTCATCACCTTCCCGAATTCTCACTAAGTTGTAAGCGCCCCTCAGGTCCAATTTTGAGAAAAAACATGCTCCTCGCAGCCTTTGAAATAATTTGGGGATAAGCGGAAGGAGATAACGGTTCTTGACCGTTATCCTATTTAGGTCACGATAGTCTATACAAGGTCTCAGAGTGTGATCCTTTTTCTCAACAAAGAAGGTGCCGGCTCCTGCTGGTGATGTAGAAGGCCGAATAAAGCCTTTTTCCAAACTTTCATCTATATACCCCCGGAGGACCTCTAATTCGACTTCGGATAAGGGGTAAATTCTACCGAAAGGAATTTCGGCACCGGGCAGGAGCTCAATCTGACAGTCATAGGAGCGATGAGGAGGAAGGGTGTTGGCACTCTTTTTATTGAACACGTCCAGATACTCATGATATACCACAGGAACAAGTTTCATGGTCTCAGGATCAGAGTGAATACTGAGAAGAGGAGTTGTCACACTTGTCTCTTTAGGAATACAGTGAGTCAGACAATATTCTGAAGGGAAGGAGATTTCTCCAGACAACCAACTGATGGTTGGATTGTGTGCTCTTAGCCAAGGCATGCTGAGAATAACTGGAAAAATCGGGGAGGTAATAATATCCAGACATAGGAATTCCTGGTGTCCTGAAGGAGAGTAGCAGAATATTGGCATGGTTTCTTGTGTTACAGGGCCAGAACGGATACCAGACCCATCTGCCAGATGAACTGCAAGTCTTTGTGCTTTGGTACGGAGTGGAATCTGATTCTGAGTAGCGACAAGCACCCGAGTCTATGATGGCCGGGACCGTGATTGTCCTTTCGGCCAGTTGTAGTTGCAGATGAAAAAAGAGGTGTGTGCGGCTTGTTCCCAGAGGGTGCATCATGTAAAAACAGTTGAAGAAAGGCTTTATGAGGTTTTATCGGGCAGGTAGCCACGAAATGACCTGCATCACCACAGTAGAGGCAGAGGTTGGACTTCTGCCGTCGAAGGCGTTCAGCTGCAGATAACTGTGGTCTCCAAAAGCTCCTCCTAGCTGGATGGGTGGGCGATTCTGATGAAACATTCGTAGAGGGCCCCATTTCCGAGCATATCAGAATCTTCCCGTTAGTCCTCTCATCCTGTCTCTCCCGAATCCGATGGTCAATATGGATCGTCAGATCTATCAGATTCTCCAATCTGGTTGGTACCCCCACTTTGGGCCAGCTCATCCTTCAAGGTATCAGAAAGACCAAGACGGAACTGATAGCGGAGAGCAGACTCGTTTCATTGAGTATCTGAACTCCAGATGCGGAATTCAGTAACATTCTTCCACAGGCCTTTGGCCTTGCTGTAGCTTGCTGAGCATAGATTCCGTGGTTTGGCGCCAGAAGGGATCAGCATAAGATTTGTGCCATTGCTGTAAAAAATGATTCCACTGAAGTTAGGGCCGGATCATGTTGTTCAAGGAGATGGTATGCCCAGGACTGAGGTTCATTTCTAAGAAGTGTGATGATGAATCACACTTTGGTATTTGATGAAGAGAAGGTCCTGGGGAGCAGGGAGAAATATAATTCACAGAAGTTACGAAAAGTCCTGAACTTCTGGCGGTCTCCTGTAAAGAACTCAGGCATTGGCACCCGGGGTTCCGGTAGAGCAGAGCTTTCAAGGATCATACTGGTCTCTGTTTGAGTGGCTGAATCAAAGGTTGCCATGAGATCTGTGTCTGTGAGGACATTAGAGTTGGTTAGCAGTTTACTCTCGAGATGCTCTAAGTTTTTCTGCAGGTCGTGCATCACGTTAAACAAGGTAGTTACTGCTTGGTGAATGTCCCCCAGTTGCGAGGCCTCCCTTTCAGACTCCATCATTGGCTGACTGGTACTGTCACGTACCTGATGGGAGACTGAATTGACAAGGTCGGCCTCACTTGTGTCACTAGCCCTGACCCCGCTGAGGTTGGAACAGAGGGAGTCTAGGGACCAGGGGGACAAGAGCGCCAGTGGTTGTTGCTTGCGGCTCTTGCAGATGATGACCTTGGTAGGCAGAATATCCTCTGATTTGGGCACTGTAGAAACAGACCAGGCAGGTTCTGTGAATTGCAAGATGTGCAGCAGAGCAAGGTAGGTAGCCAGGACACAGGACTGGAGCAGAGTCAAGGATAGCCGGGGTCTTACACAGTCAGGCAGCGCGGTACAGAATCAGAACGAAAAGCCAAAGTCAGGGGCAGAGCCGAAGTCAGGAACCAGGAGCAGGAGACTAATCGGAGTTGGGTCAGGAACAAGCCGGGTCAGCAACAAAGGAATCGTACAGGAGCAAGCAAGACACGGGAGGAGCTGAAGCCCAGTCAGCACTGAACCTGAGCAGAGGCACTCCTTAAATGGTCCGTCTGGCGCCAATCTTGGCTGTGCGTGTGCGTGATCGCGCATTCCTGCGCGCTCATGCACAACCGGCAATTTCGTCTGCGGGAATTCTTATGCGCATTCCCGATCGCGATTCTCCTTGCCGGCAATCCCTTACACTACCAATATACTGCTTGCTGCATGAACATTCCAAAAGATAGACTATATGTGAACTATTACATGTAATGGTTGATTGTATGTCATAGGATCTTCCTGTGGTATTGGAACGAAAAGTCTTCACAGGATTCTTATGAATACCATTACTAACACACAGCATACATCTGTTGCATGGATAGAATCCCTTGTGACTAAAAAAGAAAGATACTTGTTTAGGGGCATTTACTATATTAGGGGCTAGTTTGTTTCTCAGAAAGGGTTGCTTTACGATAGGTTATTTCCAGAAAATCTGGTTATGAGCTTCCCAAAACTGGGTCATTTTTCAAGATAATCCAATTTTTCTTAATCATTTTTGCTATATATTTGTACTGGGTTGAGAAGTTGGTAATAAACGGGCAGAATCTCTCATTGCGAACCTTAATACTAGAGGTAAGGAGATCTCCTCTGTCTATATCACCAATCCTTCTAATTTCGGCTTCCAATGTCGAAGCATCATAGCCTTTTTCAATGAACCTCTGTTTGAGAATATTGGATTGTAAAGCATAGTCTTCCTTCCTATCACAATTTCTGCGAATACGCAGAAATTGCCCCCTAGGAATATTGTCAAGCTATCTGGGAAGATGGCAACTATCCTTAGGGATAAAGCTGTTCCTGTCTGTTGTTTTAAAGAAACTTTTAGTTGAGATGCCTGTGCCATCATTAAAGAGAGTTAAATCCAGGAAATTAATTTCATGATAATCATACTGGAAGGTGAGTTTGATGTTTAAAATATTGTAGTTTAGAGTGGTAGAAAAATTATTTAATGTAAACTCATCCCCTTCCCAGAGTAACAGGATGTCATCGATGTATCGACGGTAGAACAATAAATGTGGCCAGTCCCTTGAGTATATGAGGTCTTCCCATCTTGCCATAAATAGGTTAGCTAGACTGGGTGCAAACTTAGCCCCCACGGCTACGCCTATGGTTTGTAAGTAATACGTATCACTAAACCGAAAGTAATTATGGCTCATAGCGAAGTCCAGCAACTCTAATATGAAACGTTTTTGCAATATGGGTATATCATCTGCTGTGTTAAGGTAAAAATTCCGCAGCAGCTAAACCGTCAGCATGTTGGATGTAACTATACAAAAGCAGCCACATCTGCCGTAACCAAAAAAGTGGGGTTTTGTAATTTGATATCTTTTATATCCGTCAAGACTTGTTTAGTGTTTTTAAGGAATGCTAGGGTGCTGCAGACTAAGGGCTGGAGGAAAAAATCTATATATTCCCCTACACGGGCACAGAGAGAACCTATGCCACTGACTATCGGGCAGCCTGGGGGATTGACCGGGTCCTTGTGGACTTTAGGCAGGCAGTAAAGGATAGGTAATTTGGGGACCGTGGGGCAAAGGTAATCCTTCTCTTTTTTACTCAGGATACCAATATCAAACCCTCTTTTGATTAAAGCCTTTAAAATTTTTTTATAGGGGATAAGGGGATTATTCTGTAGCTCTGCATAGGTGTCCTTATCTAGAATCTTGTACAAGTGTGAGAGATAGTCTCCTTTATCCATGACAACCACTCCGCTACCTTTGTCTGCAGGGCGGACTACTAAATCATTATTTTCTAATACATTTTTTGTCATAATATCAATGTGTTTCTGATTGTGGTACTTATTGTTCCAATTTTTGATTTTCATATTTTCAAGGTCTTTGAGAACCATATTTTAAAAAATATTTATATGGGAATGGGCAGGGGGGTTAAAAAGTGAAGCATTGGGGGCGCTCGTGAGCAGCAACCAGGATGGCTGCTTCCTAAGTTAACTCCTCGGCCGCCGGACACATCGGCCGATTTTCACTCCTCAGGGGGGGTCCCCCTGTTTCCTCCCTGGCCCCGTCTCTCCAGTGCCCTGATGGGCAAAAAAACGCTGGCCGCCCGTGCCTCCAGCTCCCGGCAGGCTGCTCCGGTGTTTGCGGCCTACCCGCCGGCGATCGCGGCTGAAGCCGGGGCCTCGATTTTGGGCCGGCCGCCGCGGACTTCCAGGACCCCGTCCGCAGGTTCGCGGCTCTCGCCCGGGACCTCAGATGGAGCCCCAGCCGCGATTTTGGGTCCCCCGCTGTCACCATCCATATATTTATGCAGGTTCAGCAGCTTCCCTTGGTCAGGCGGATAACTATTCCCTCCTCGCCTTGGTCGGATCACGATCCCTTGGTACTTCTCCTTGCCCTCTCTGGGTCAGAACGGCGCCCTTTTTATTGGCGCATCAATGATTCTTTATTGACCACTCAGGCTACCTGCCAACAAATAGAATTTTTTTTTACGAACATACTTCACGGAAAATGCGGGATCGGTCTCCTCGGCAGTGCCCCTATGGGAGGAGCATAAGGCCACGGTGCGGGGTCATGTTATACAGCTGGCGGCGGTCCGGAAGCGCCGACTTTTGGAGCTTCATTCTCTCCTGGCCTCTGCGGATGCGCGTTGTAAGTCATCTCCATCCGCGGCCCATAAACGCGCTCAGGACGCTCTGGCGGCAGAATTGGACTTACTTGCCTCTTCGGAGGCAGAACGGGCCCTGCGCTGGACCAAACACAAATTTTATTCCTGTGCTAATAAGCCAGGCCCGATGCTGGCCAGGAAACTCAATTCTGCGGGGAAACCCCATAAACCGATTCAACAGACTTCCTACAGGTGGCTGTACTTCTAATCCTCAGCAGATTGTTTCCCGTTTTTCAGACTTCCTTTCACGCCTCTACGCTAAACCAGATCCCTTCCCCGTGGCTCAAGCAGAGGCGTTCTTTCAAGATCTCCGACTTCCTGGGTTATCCGAGGCAGCACAGGTGGCACTCAACGACGGTGTCACTGTACCAGAAGTGCTCCAAGCTATCAAATCTTTACGGTCCACCGCGGCCCCACGTCCCGACGGCTTTTCCGGTCTTTATTATAAGAAATTCTCAGCCATTTTGGCGCCCTTTTTGGCTGAGTATTTTAATGCGTTACAACAGGGCTCCTCGCCCTCTCCAGATGCGCTTAGAACGCATATCGCCATGATTCCTAAGACGACCGATGATGTACAGGAACCGCAAGCCTTCCGGCCTATTTCTCTTCTTAATGAAGACCTGAAGATACTGGGCAAGATCCTTAGTTTTCGCATCAATAAATATTTGCGTAGCCTGGTCCACAGGGACCAGGTGGTGTCAGGGCTCCCGGGTGTGACCAGAGGTATGTGACTGACGCAGGGAAACGCAGACTTCAGATATGTTATAAACAATATAATTTATTGACACTAACAATACAAACATAAACGCAGTGCAATACTAAAACATAACACAGTGCAAACGAACCAAACCAAACCACCCACAGATAACAATACATACAATGCAAGCGTCGTCAGGCAGGCCGGGTCAATATCAATCGGGCAGGTAGGTACAGGGGGAGCAAGCGGAGAATGGTCGGGGTCACAAGCCAGGTTCAGCAGGTAGCGGGCAGCGTGGTACAGAGGGTCAGGCAGAGGGATGGTCAGGAACGAGCCGGGGTCAGAGCAGGAGAAGTCAGCAGAGGTCAGATCAGGCAGGGTCAGCAACAAGACAGGAACAGGAACAGGATGCAGGATGCAGGAACAGGATACAGGGCCCAGGAAAAACACACACCAAGGCCGAGTCTGCAGGTCTGGCCATCCCTTAAATACACCAGTATAAGCAGTTTCAGGTGTTTAGCTGGCTGCAAGGTTGAGTCTCTGATTGCTGGGAGCACCCGCTGGCCAGCCCTGGTACTGCAGCCCATAAGGCAGGCGAGTCCCACCATTGCTGACCAGTCCATTCCTGACAGTACCCCCTTCCTCAAGGAGCGGCCTCAGGACGCTCCAAACAGTCCTAGCTGGGCAAAATGTTCCACTGCCCGGGTCTGGTAACTGGCGGGATATCAAAGACTGGCACACCGGGCAGGACTCCGGGCAGCGGCACACCGGGCAGGGGCACACCGGGCAGAGGCACACCGGGCTGGACTCCGGGCAGAGGCACACCGGGCTGGACTCCGGGCAGAGGCACACCGGGCTGGACTCCGGGCAGAGGCACACCGGGCTGGACTCCAGGCAGAGGCACACCGGGCTGGACTCCAGGCAGAGGCACACCGGGCTGGACTCCGGGCAGAGGCACATCGGGCTGGACTCCGGGCAGAGGCACATCGGGCTGGACTCCGGGCAGAGGCACATCGGGCTGGACTCCGGGCAGAGGCACATCGGATTACCAGGCGAAGCAGCAGGCAGCGGGCCACCAGGCGGAGCAGCAGGCACCAGGCCACCAGGCGGGGCGACAGGCACCGGGCCCCCAGGCGGGGCGACAGGCACCGGGCCCCCAGGCCCCAGACCGGGCTGGCCAGTCCATTCCTGACAGGTGGGGTTCGTCCCCGGGCGGCAGGCGGGTGATAACGTCCGTAAGGTGGTCCATCTTATACATTTTCTGCAACAACGGAAAATCCCAGGATTCTTACTGTCTTTAGAGATCTATAAAGCCTTTGATTCTCTATCCTGGGAATATCTGCGGTTTGTGCTGTCTCGTTGGGGTTTTGGGGATTCTATTCTTTCTTGGATTCAGGCCTTGTATTCTTCTCCTTCGGCCTCCGCAAAATACGCTGGGTATTTTTCAGATCCCTTTCCTATTGGGCGAGGGACGAGACAGGGTTGCCCCCTGTCCCTGGCGCTTGAGCCGCTGGCTTTAGCGCTCCGTACCTATTGCAATGTATCGGGGGTTCCTTACGTGGGACAGGAGTTCAAGCTGAATCTTTTTGCAGACGATGCCCTCCTGACTCTTACTAACCCCCTGACGACGCTTCCTAATTTGCAACAGGTTCTTGAGCGCTTCTCTTTGATTGTCCTTGATTGACCTCCTTTTCACCTTGTTCCATCTCTCCAAACGCCGGGATGTTCGGTATGCTTTGCTTCATTGCCCCATACCGGGCCTCTTGGCTCACCAGCAGAAGTTGGCTTCCTATCTGTTTTTATCCGCCACTAGAACAATTGCTCAGGCCTGGAAGAGTCAGTTTGTCCCTCTTCAGGGGGTGCGGGATCGTATGACCACTATGATGCTCAACGAACAGATGTCGAGTATCCGCAATGACTCCCAACGTAAATTTTTGAAAATATGGGAGCCGTGGCTGCAATATGCCCTTCCCTCACTCTCCCCGGCTAGTCTGGGGATGTAATGGCATTCGGTGTTGGCGCTCTTGAATCCCTGCTCTTTGCCCCCCCCCCTTTTTTCTTTTCCTTTTCTCTCTCTCTCTGTTTTTGGTGTGACTAGGACAGCTGCATTTAGTTGTTATAATCAGTTACATTAATGTTTTGTAACTTATGTGCCATTGATAGCCCCTGCGTGGGCGTACCTTTTGCCCTGTTGGCATTAGAGCATTGTTTTTCCCTTTTTTTTTATTTTGCATTTTGTTTATCTGTGCAATTGATAGCCCCTGCGTGGGCGTGTTTTATTGCCTCTGTTTATACTGTTTAAAAATTTTAATAAAAACCATTGAAATAGAAAAAGTGAAGCATTTTTTAGATTCAAGGTTTTAAAACCAGCCAAACCCGGATTAGTAATTCCCCTAGTAAGGGGGTTGTTTAGGAAATATCTTTTAAGAGATAGCCTTCTTGTAAATCTATGGATATCAATAAAAGTATTGAATTTATTTAATTTGGCTGGCGGGCATATTTCAGACCTTTATTAAGAAGATTTAATTCCTTATCCGTCAGTGTTTTTACTACGGAGGTTAAAAATGCCAGTATTAATTACATTGCATTAATTACATTCTTTTTCTTTTGTCTGTTATGCCGTACTCCTCCTCCACATATCAGTGCCTACCAATGCACATCAATGCCACATATCAGTGCCAATCTGAGCTGCCTTTCAGTGTCACCTATCAGTGCCAGTCAATGCCACCTATCAATGCCAGTCAGTGCCACCTATCAGTGCCGCCAATCAGTGCCGCCTATCAGTGCCAGTCAGGGCTGCCTATCAGTGCAGCCTATCAGTGCCCATCAGTGTCGCCTAACAGTGCCAGTCAGTGCCACCTATCAGTACCAGTCAGTGCCACCTATCAGTACCAGTCAGTGCCACCTATCAGTACCAGTCAGTGCCACCTATCAGTACCAGTCAGTGCCACCTATCAGTACAGTCAGTGCTGTCTATCAGTGCCATATATGAGTGCTGCCTTTCAGTGCCCATCAGTGATGCCTGTCAATGCCCATCAGTGCCACCTACCAGTGCCTCCTCATCAGTGCCCATCAGTGCCACCTATCACTGTTCAACAGGTAAAAAGTTTTGGGCATAAAATTAGCTAATCTTACATAATTTTGGGGTGCTGAAAACGAAAATGACCCTAAAAAAGGTTGATTGGCTCTAGTTTCCATGATATATTCACCCATCTAATGACATAAGCCATTCAAAATTATGATGCAACTTCAGCTGCATATTGCGCAATTGATACTGGTGACCAATAGAAAATTGCATGTATACTGAGATGATGCAATATTAGCCTTTAATTGCATCACTTCACTGCATAAAAGCTGCAGGATCTGTAGCTGATTGTAGTTCGACAGCGTCTTTACATTTTGTTTTATGCTTATATAGGCTACTCAGTAATGCCTCGAACTTGTGTGAATAAAGCAGATAATTTCTGCTATATCTGCGGTGAAATAACTTTTATCTCACAAAAAAGGAGGATAACAGGAATGATTAAGAAAGCCTACAACTTGTATTTTGGCTGCAAGATAGGAGACCAGGACAAGAGCTGGACACCACATATATGCTGCAATTCTTGTGGGACGGCACTGGAGCAATGGTTGAATGGAAAAAAGGCATCTATGCCTTTCGCTGTGCCAATGATTTGGAGAGAGCCAACAGATCATGTTAGTAATTGTTACTTTTGTATGGTGCCTCCAATTGTAAAAGGGCTAAATAAGAAGAAAAAGTTATCTGTGCACTATCCAAATATTCCATCGGCAATATGTCCAGTTCCTCATGGAGAGGGGCTACCAATTCCTAAAGCACCAGAATCCTTTGTGGTTGAGTCAAGTGAGGAAGAACCTGAAGCGTGTAGTCACGTGCAGTTGTAAGAGATAGCCCTTTCCTCGAATACAAGAGAAAAGCCAAGAGAAGCAAAACCGACACAAACTAAAGACAAAACTAGTGAGAATCCTAAGTATTAAAATGATTCAACTTAGCTTATGGCTATAATTTTTCTTGGTAATCCTATGCAATATATTATGCCATTTAGGCTTTGTTATGTAGTCAATATCACTTGCTTTATATTTGTGGAAAGACATCTATCTATATAATTATTGTGCATTATGTAGTCATTACGCCTATAGTAGAAAACTTTCCGTTTACAGAAAAACTAGAGCCAATTGACAAATTTCATTGTTATATTTGAACTCAGAATGTGAAATCCATTAAGAAATGAACCCTTTTGTTTCCAAAACTGGCAAAAAATAAAAATTTTGTTGAATCAGTGTCCATCAGTGCAGATCACTGCAGCCTCATTAGCGCACATCAGTGAAGGAGAAAAATCACCTATTTACAAAATTTTATAACAAAAACTAAGAAAAACTTTTTTTTTTTAAATTTTCAGTGGTTTTTGGTTTGTTTAGCAAAAAATAAAAAACCCAGAGGTGATTAAATACCACCAAAAGAAAGCTCTGTCTCAAAAAAAAAGATAAAAAATTCATATGGGTACAGTGTTGCATGACAGCGCAATTATCATTCAAAATGTAACAGCGCTGAAAGCTGAAAATTGGCCTGGGCAAGTGGTTAAACTCTCCAGTATCTTCCCAATTATAGAAGTTAAACTAACAGGTCTATAAATTACTTGGTAAAGATTTTGACCCCTTTTAAATATTGGCACCATATTGGCCTTACGCCAATCCAGTGATACTATGCCAGTCATTAGAAAGTCCCTAAAAATTAGAAACAATGGCTTTGAAATGACAGAGCTCAATTCTTTAAAGACCTATGGGTGTATGCCATCCAATCCAAGTGCTTTATTCACCTTTATGCTGTCTAAATATTTTTGGATCATATCAATTGTGAGCCAATGTGGATTTTCTGGAGCTGTGTCAATACCATGCCCATTATGGACAAGAGCTCCCCCAGGCTCCTTTGTACACACAGAGCTGAAGAAGGTATTCAATAAATTTGTCTTCTCTTTGTCCCCAGTCACCCACTCTAGATTATATTGTAAAGGGCCTACATGCTTGGACCGAACCTTTTTACTATTCATTTTCCAAAAGCGTTTATTGATGAAGTACAGAATGATACAAAAGATATGCAAATGATGCTTAGATAAGACATTTGGCAATGCATACAATGAAAAAGCAAGAAGTCGCATGCAAAAATATATGCAACGTTGTTATACTAGTCTACGGCAAAATTATGCTTGTAATACTCAGGCGTTATTGTAATGTGATTTGAAATGTTGCCGCGTTGAACCTCCTATGTGTGTAATTCTCAATGCAGAGCTATAGAGGGAGGGAGGATAGATGCGGCACATATGCTAAAGACGAAGCCATAATCTAACGACAATAGAGGTACAGTATCTGAAAACAAACTTAAATTGTCGTGAGGGCCGCTGATGAAAGTAGAGAGAGTAAGTTATTAGCATGCCTAGTGTTCTCTTGAGAGGTATCCAAAATCTATCAGAGCATGTGACAAGAGGGAAAGAAGAGAGAGAAAGAGAAAAAAAAATGGGGGGGGGGGGACGACCTTTTTACTATTAATATATTTGTAGAATATTTTGGGGTTGGTCCTGCTATCTTTTGCAATCTGTCGTCCATTTTCAATTTTTGCGGCCTTTATTTCCTTTTTGCATATTCTGTTATATTCTTTGTACTGTTTAAGCAATTATAGCGTTTAGAGATGAGCGAAGAAATGAAAAATTCGATTCGACTGATTCGGCGAATTCGTGGACAATATTCGATTCGAGTCGAATAAATTCGCTGTGAATTTAACTTAAAAAAGGGTGTTTCTAGGCTTCAGAGAGACTTAATATTAGTGCAGAACACTGTACCTTTAATTTAAATGCCCTTGGAGTCTGCTGGGGAAGAGAAATAATACTGTCAGTCAGTATGACATGCAGATGAGTGCCGTCGATCTTAGAATCACTGCACACTTCACTCCTTTGGCCAGTCACGGGGCCAAAACCAGTGTTTGGAGCCACAGTGTGGCGGTGGAGCCAGCAGCAATGGGAGGCCATACAGCAACCTATGACAAAATGGAAACCAGCAGGAGCGTGAGGAGACCTGAAAGTGGCACATGGCAGAGTGGGAGCAATGGGAGGCGGTACAGGGACCCAGGTCACACTGTGGGACCAGCAGCAGCGTGACCAGGCGGTACGGGGGCCCATGGCCGATTTGGGGCTTGGTGGCACCTATGGAAGGCCTGTAATCTGCCAGCAACCTATGACAAAATGGACAACCGCAGGAGTGTGAGGAGATTTCAAAGTGGCACATGGCAGAGTGGAAGCAATGGGAGGCCGTACAGGGACCCAGGTCACACTGTGGGCTCAGCAGCAGCGTGACCAGGAGGTACGGGGGCCCATGGCCGATATGGGGCCTGGCGGCACCTATGGGAGGCCGCTAATCTGCCAGCACCCTATGACAAAATGGAAAACCGCAGGAGGAGTGTGAGGAGATTTCAAAGTGGCACATGGCAGAGTGGAAGCAATGGGAGGCCGTACAGAGACCCCAGGTCACACTGTGGGACCAGCAGCAGCGTGACCAGGAGGTACGGGGTGCCCATGGCCGATATGGGGCCTGGCGGCATCAATAGAAGGCCTGTAATCTGCCAGCAACCTATGACAAAATGGACAACCGCAGGAGTGTGAGGAGATTTCAAAGTGGCACATGGCAGAGTGGAAGCAATGGGAGGCCGTACAGGGACCCAGGTCACACTGTGGGCTCAGCAGCAGCGTGACCAGGAGGTACGGGGGCCCATGGCCGATATGGGGCCTGGCGGCACCTATGGGAGGCCGCTAATCTGCCAGCAACCTATGACAAAATGGAAAACCGCAGGAGTGTAAGGAGACCTCAAAGTGGCACATGGCAGAGTGGAAGCAATGGGAGGCCGTACAGGGACCCAGGTCACACACTGTGGGCTCAGCAGCAGCGTGACCAGGAGGTACGGGGGCCCATGGCCGATATGGGGCCTGGCGGCACCTATGGGAGGCCTGTAATCTGCCAGCAACCTATGACAAAATGGACAACCGCAGGAGTGTGAGGAGATTTCAAAGTGGCACATGCAGAGTGGAAGCAATGGGAGGCCGTACAGGGACCCAGGTCACACTGTGGGCCCAGCAGCAGCGTGACCAGCGGCGGTACGGGGGCCATGGCCGATATGGGGCCTGGCGGGCACCTATGGGAGGCCGCTAATCTGCCAGCAAACCTATGACAAAATGGAAAACCGCAGGAGTGTAAGGAGACCTCAAAGTGGCACATGGCAGAGTGGAAGCAATGGGAGGCCGTACAGGGACCCAGGTCACACTGTGGGCTCAGCTAGCAGCGTGACCAGGAGGTACGGGGGCCCATGGCCGATATGGGGACTGGCGGCACCTATGGAAGGCCGCTAATCTGCCAGCAACCTATGACAAAATGGACAACCGCAGGAGTGTGAGGAGATTTCAAAGTGGCACATGGCAGAGTGGAAGCAATGGGAGGCCGTACAGGGACCCAGGTCACACTGTGGGCCCAGCAGCAGCGTGACCAGGAGGTGCGGGGGCCCATGGCCGATATGGGGCCTGGCGGCACCTATGGGAGGCCGCTAATCTGCCAGCAACCTATGACAAAATGGAAAACCGCAGGAGTGTAAGGAGACCTCAAAAGTGGCACATGGCAGAGTGGAAGCAATGGGAGGCCGTACAGGACCCAGGTCACACTGTGGGCTCAGCAGCAGCGTGACCAGGAGGTACGGGGGGCCCATGGCCGATATGGGGACTGGCGGGCACCTATGGAAGGCCCGCTAATCTGCCAGCACCCTATGACAAAATGGAACCCTGGGCTGGGGCAGGCAGAACCGCCGTATCTTTATCACGGTTTTCCCAGGCCACCCAATTGTCGACGCTGCATATGCTGACGCAATGCTGTTAGTAGTCCCAACATGGGCCCCCTGGCCACGCTTGACTTTCTGGCCACATAGTCGACATACGGCTACGTTTACTTCCTCGGGGCGGCTTGACTCGAAAAACTGCCACACCGCCGAGTAGGAAAACTTTGCACCCGCTACTCACTCACTGGCTGACTGCTACTTCCTCCGTGCACACCGGGCACCACTACTGGCTGTGGTGGTAGGCTGCAGTGGAGCTGCTGCTCTACTCCGTGGCCGTTTGCCTCCACTGACAAAGCTGCGACCCTGCTGCCTCCTGGCAGCAGCAATGGGAGGCCGTACAGGGACCCAGGTCACACTGTGGGCTCAGCAAGCAGCGTGACCAGGAGGTACGGGGCCCATGGCCGATTATGGGGCCTGGCGGACATCAATAGAAGGCCTGTAATCTGCCAGCAACCTATGACAAAATGGACAACCGCAGGAGTGTGAGGAGATTTCAAAGTGGCAAAAAAAAAACGGCACATGGCAGAGTGGAAGCAATGGGAGGCCGTACAGGGACCCAGGTCACACTGTGGGCCTCAGCAGCAGCGTGACAAGGAGGTACGGGGGCCCATGGCCGATATGGGCCTGGCGGCATCAATAGAAGGCCTGTATCTGCCAGCAACCTATGACAAATGGACAACCGCAGGAGTGTGAGGAGATTTCAAAAGTGGCACATGGCAGAGTGGAAGCAATGGGAGGCCGTACAGAGACCCAGGTCACCACTGTGGGACCAGCGCAGCGTGACCAGGAGGTACGGGGGCCCATGGCCGATATGGGGCCTGGCGGCATCAAATAGAAGGCCTGTAATTCTGCCAGCAACCCTATGACAAAATGGACAACCGCAGGAGTGTGAGGAGATTTCAAAGTGGCACATGGCAGAGTGGAAGAGCAATGGGAGGCCGTACAGGGACCGAGGTCACAACTGTGGGTCTTCATATCATAACAGCAAGCGGTGACAGGAGGTTTGTACGGGGGGCCCATGGCCGTATATGGGCCTGGCGGCCTCACATAGAAGGCCTGTAATCTGCCAGCAACCTATGACAAAATGGACAACCGCAGGAGTGTGAGGAGAGACTTTCAAAGTGGCACATGGCAGAGTGGAAGCAATGGGAGGGCCGCGTACAGAGACCCAGGTCACACAGTGTGGACCAGCAGCAGCGTGACCAGGAGGGGTACGGGGGAGCCCCCATGGCGATTATGGGGCCTGAGCAGCGTGGCACCTATGGGAGGCCGATATTATGGGGCCTGGCGGCACCTATGGGAGGCCGCTAATCTGCCAGCACCCTATGACAAAAAATGGAAAACCGCAGGAGTGTGAGGAGATTTCAACAGTGGCACATGGCAGAGTGGAAGCAATGGGAGGCCGTACAGAGACCCAGGTCACACTGTGGGGCGACCAGCAGCAGCTGACCAGGAGGGTACGGGGGCCCCATGGCCGATATGGGGGCCTGGCTTGCAGCATAATAGAAGGCCTGTAATCTGCCAGCAACCTATGACAAAATGGACAACCCAGCAAGGAGTGTGAGGAGATTTCAAAAGTGG